ACTGAAAATGAGGCATTCTATCTTAGTACTCACGGGTGACAACGCATCTGCATTTGTAGTTGAGGATAGATGTAGACATCTATGGGCAGCAGCAACCACTTACCATCATGTGGACTGTGTGTTCGTTTGTTACCCTGATCCTACAAAAAGAATTGAATTTTGATTACCGTCATGTATGTAGTAACCACTCACAAGATTATTTTATTACGATTGACGTAATAATTATAAAAATTGTCCCATGCATTTGCATTTTACATCTACAGCGCCACAAAGGAACAAACATACATATTTACAATATAAAATAATAAAAAATAAAAATAAACATAATTATATAGGCTAATAAACACATTACCCTACGCAGTCGGGTAATAAAGTAAAATAACAACTAACTAACTTCTAAAGCAAATTAAATTAAAATTGTTTATAATAACAATATAGAAACCATTAAATTTCGCTTAGTGAACTTCAAAGTTCATCTAGAAATGATTAATCTATGAACCACTAGACGAAGCAACAATCTGTTATACATATATATATAGACATCAAAATAACTGAGCTCTTGCAATTGGGATAGTAAAATGCAATGTTGAGCCTTGTAATTGTGGTGAATTGTAATATTTTATAATAATTATAAATATACTATTAATACGCAAACTATTATTATGCTTATAACCTATAATATAATATAAAATATGTAATATCTTAATATCTTAATAATAAGTTATTCCCATAGCTAATTCTTATAATTTCGTCGAGACAAAATGGGGTTAAAAGGTACTTTAAATAAAGCCGTCATCACGTTTCTAAAGCCTCATAATGGCACGAAGAACATGAAATAATATTACCTTTAAAATTATTTTCCATTCCGAAGCTTCATTTCATTAACAAGAAAGATTATATACGTTAGAGTTGGTTTAGTTTCATGTACCATTGATATTACTTTTGCTATATCTAATAAATGAGTTTAATTAGTAAAGTAAAAGCAAAAAGGAAACATTTTATGTGTCAGTAAAAGGAATATTAACCTCATTGTGGAGTATTCGTTAACAAAAAAGCCTTATAAGAACACGATAATATTAGAAGAATAAAAGCGAAGTAGAAGGAGACTATTCTCGTAAATATTACGTTAATAACTTAAATTCGCAACCTTAGTGTTGTGATGGTTAGATTTAAGGTCTAGCACTAAGCAATTCTGTAGTTGTATCATATAAAAAGGAATACCAAAATTATAAGCCTCAAAAGTCTTTAATTTCTATGAGAATAAACACAATATTAAATAATAATTACATTGTGATAATAGTAGTTACCGCGTCAATACAATTCTGTTCGCAATATGTTATGATATTTTGAAATAGTATTGACACGAATGACGTACAATCGAACAATAATTTGCATCAAAATTATATGTAATTATTATCATATAATAGCGATACGAATACGTGGTAGAGCCACGCTACAGCTATATTAGTAGTATAGTTGTAGAACGAATGGGTCGGCTCGACCGGGGAAGGACCACGCTCTCACAGAATACCAGCGTCAAATAGCAGCTTAACACTGCTGTGTTTCGTATGGTGAGTGTAGAGAAACGGAGACCCTTTTTACAGGAAAAGAGGCATTCCATCTTAGTCCTCACGGGTGAAAACGCATCTGCGTTTTGATTCGCAAACGAAGATAAATGTAGATGTCTATGGCCACAGCAACCACTTACCATCAAGTGGACTGTGTGCTCGTTTGTCACTCGATCCTATAAAAAAAGCGAAAAAATAACAATAATATTTTCTTAATATTCACATCACTTCTACATTAGTGTCATCTTTTAAGGGACTTTTTGTAGATTTTATGTAGAGCAATTTAAGTTCATTAAGAATATTATACGTGGTAGAGCCACGCAGCAGCTATATTATAGCTGTAGGACGAATGGGTTGACTTGACCGAGGTAGTAAAATAGCAGCTTAATAGTGCTGAGTTTCGTATGGTAAATAAAGAGAACCAGAGAGCCTTTTAACTGGAAACGAGGCATTCCATCTTAGACCTCTAATGTAAATATCTATGGGCTCCTGCATCCCCTTCCCATCAGGTGGACTGTGTCCTCATTTATCATCCTTATTATATTATAAAAATATTTACCCCCCTTGTACCACCAGACAATTCATCAGACATATCAAGCAAAACTTCTTGCTGTATATTCGTTATATAGGTTCACGCTCAATAAGAAAAACTGTTAAAACTGATAAATGGATTAAATAGAATCAACCTAATCACATATACAAAAATCATGAATATTTCAGCAGACTGCCCCAAAACATAAGATATACAGGAAGTTGACGGATGCAGGTGACTCAGGATCCTGTTTCTATTTACCTCTATTGCCACTTATAACACTCACGGGACGGTACGGAATAGTGTTAGTATTATACGAGTGTAGGAGGGATTATTGAAGTTTCCAATGCAAACTGTCAGGATTAGGAAACATCACCCGTCATATGGAAGTGACAATGTATAGCAGTGGATTTTCACATAATGATGAAAACTGTAATATGATTATTATTTATTAAAATTTTGTCGGTGTACGATAGAGGTCAAGGATTTACAAGAAAAACAATGAAATAAGTATAAATCGGATTGCTTTAATTTTACTTTTATACAAATCGAATACTACGTACGATAGTCAATTTAACGAATATACATATTATCCGTCGAGTTTAATATTCTTTTTAACAAATTTACCTTTGTATATTTTTAAAACGTTCACTATTATAAAACCTTCATAGAGGTTTTTTTATTATAAAATAACGACTACGTTATAATTGCTTGTATTTTAGTCAGCTTACCTACAGTCATATTATTAATTATTTTATTTATTTTGGCTATGGTTAAGACACCGGAACACAATGTGGAGAATTATGTGACAGGTATAAAAATAATTAATGTGCTATACAAGATGGCGATTATATGCTAAATCAATTTATTAATGCAATAAAAACATCATGCATGCGTATATCAAACCCTTATTGCTCGTAATCGTCAAACTTCTTCGAACGCACACATATTTCAAAATATCGAACTTCTGTTTATAAAACACTTGTAACTTAAAATATAAGACTCCGGTGATCTCTAATTAATATGAAAATTATATTGAACAAAAACGTATACAAAAAGTCCTAATTGAGATATTTTATAAGTAGAGTATTATAAATACATTTATTGCAATGAATAATTATAAGAATGTGAAACATTGCATTTATAAAGGCTAGACGTATTTACAAAAGTCGTCTATATGGGAACCAATGTCAAACAACACTCTTAATTAATATCTCACGACGAGTTCGACGAACTATTTGAAATATCTGAAATTGGATAAAATTACCGGACAAAGAATTAAACTCTATGCCAGCGTCAGTCTTCATAGCTGAGATTTTTTTAATGAAAAGTAGAAATTTAAAATGTTTGTCTTCCCTTTATTGATATATTATGATGACAAGCAAGAACACAAAAGAACACAAAACTGCAAAAAGTTTTATAAACCCTAATTTTTGGCACTAACAAATCTGATTTTAACTTTTAAATAATTTTACCAATTTCTTTTTTTAATCACTTCAACTGTTAAAGGGTCTATTCATCATAGTAACAATAATTATAAATATCAAGATAAATAAAAATAAAAATATAACAACATGGCGTATTTAGGAAATATTTAAACAGACATACATAATCACATTATACATAGAATATGTTTATCGATAACAGAAAAAAGAAATATTTCGATCACTAAGCTGTTATATCAAACACGTATTAGTGTAAAAAAAAACTATTTTGTGACATAACCCACAAACGTTAATAAGCGTCTATAAATATACTTCTCGATAAATAACAAACAACAATTTCAAAATTATGTTTTGTTTAACTCCCCTTATATTAACATGTCGACAAAATCAACACTATTACGAGTGCCCAGTCAAATTCAAATAAATCTTGACTTCACGTCGATTATTGACAACCTAAATAAAATTCGAATTCCAAAGAATACTGCAATATCTTGGGATTGAATGAAAGATGTCTTTCTCGTAACGGCTTTAATGGCGGACTGAGCGGTGACGTTACAATAATTAACAAATACCTTACACCTCCAGCCTTAAATATCTACATAATTATATAGCAATGAACTTAATAACTAGTTTTAAACTTATAATTTAACTAAGTATACCATTAATCTAACATTGGAATTTAATTACGGGTTTTCGGATTCGCCTGGAACGGGTCACTGGCCGCGACGGTGGCGGTGGTTGTGGAGGAGTGGCGGGGCCTGGTACAGTCTCGCTGGGACATTGCGTATCTGCCACGTGCTCGGTATCCACGTCATCTTTTCCAGCCGAAACCGCCACCTCCGTTTGCAACTCTGAAGACGCATCTGCAAACTCATCCTCATCCTTTTCATCGACCTCATTAGTGATATCTGGACAGGTAACATCGGATAAGCGCGACCTACGTCTTATTTGATCAATATGTCTTTTAATAAGTCGACCGTCACCATTGTCGAGAACGTATCTTCCAGAACCTTCTTTCTGGGCTACCGTGCCCTTGACCCATTTATCCCGGGTGCCGTAGTCCCTACTCCAGACGGTGTCTCCCAAAGAGAAATTACGCGGAACACCACCCGCATATTCGACTTGACGCTGCTGAGCATCGAGCACACGCGCTTGCACCACGTACCCACCGCGAAGTAAATCCAACCGTGAACGCAAGGAACGTCGCTGCAGCAGCATCGCTGGGCTCTCACCCGTGGTGCTTTGCTTACTGTTGCGATAGCTTAGTAAAAAGGTTTGTAGGGCGGTATCAATATCTACGTCATCCCTATAAGCCTTTTTAATTGCCCTCTTACACAGCTTAACAGCATTTTCCGCTGCCCCATTAGATGCAGGGTGGTACGCCGGTGAAAACCTTTGCTGAATGCCATTATTTTTCAAAAAACTTTTAAATTCAATACTTGTGAAAGGCGGTCCCTAGTCAGACACTAGTTCTAAGGGCAAACCGAATCTTGCAAATATTGACCTCAGCACCTTAACAATGGAAGTCGCATTCGTTCGCGCTACTTCAATAATTTCAAGCCATTTCGAGCTCGAATCTATTAAAACTAAATAAGTTTTACCTTTATACGGTCCTAGGAAGTCTATGTGAACTCTAGACCAGGGAGGCAAGTAGGGCCAGGGGTTAGGAGGCGCGCGCGGCGGGGCGTCCGCCTCAGAGGCGCAGGTCTCGCAGCTTCGGCATAGCGCTTCCACATCCGCATCGATGTTCGGCCACCACACATAACTCCGTGCCAGCCCCTTAGTTTTCACAATACCCATGTGGCTGCTGTGTAGTTGTTTTAAAATAATTGGACGTAAATATGAAGGTATTACCATTCTATACCCCCACATAATCGACCCGTTATTTAAATATAGTTCATTGCGCCTAACAAAATAAGGTTTAACCTCTTCACCAGGGCAAACTGTCGGCCAACCCGATTTGATATAGGCGAAAATTCTACTAAGAATAATATCCTTTGAAGTCGCCTTCGTAACATCCTCATTAGTAACCGGTAAAAAATTTTCAACGAAGTTAATATAAGTAATTTCTCTATTTATCGTTTTTTTATTATTAGAAGAAATTGGTAATCTTGATAAACCGTCGGCGCAATTTTTATTAGACGTTACGTATTCGATATTGTAGTCGTAACCAGATAAAAGTACGGCCCAACGTTGGATACGTGAAGCGGCCATAACCGGTATTCCCGTTTTTTTACCGAATATGTGTGTTAACGGTTTATGGTCCGTACGCAATATGAATTTTCGCCCATAAAGATACTGATGATATTTTCTTACACCGAACACAATAGCGAGCGCCTCCCGATCGATCTGCGAGTAGGCTCGCTATGCAGCCGTGAGCGAGCGCGACGCATACGCCACCGGCCGCTCGCCCTCTGGCGTCAGGTGCGAGATCACTGCACCTACACCCACGCTACTCGCATCACACGTCAGCACAATAGGCAAATCGCTAGAGTAATGCATTAGAATTTTACTAGAACTCAATAGTTCTTTTACCTTTTTAAAGGCTCTTTGACAATCGTCACACCAATCAAATTTTATTCCCGTACGCAATAAATTATATAAGGGTGCGAGAATAGTGCTGATATTTTTTACGAATTTTGCATAATACATTATCATTCCTATATAGGCCCTTAACTCAGACACGTTCGTAGGAACGGGAGTGTCTACTATTGCCTTAATCTTATCCGGACAAGTGTGAATACCATCCTTACTAATTACATAACCTAAGTAATTGACTGATTCAGCAAAAAATACACACTTTTCCTTTTTAACTCGAAGTCCGTACGACTGCAAACGGTCAAATACTTTATGTAAATTACTAATATGCTCCTCTGTGTTGCGCCCTGTAATAATTATATCGTCCAAAAATACGCCTACATACGGTAGATTAAATAATTGCTCTAAATGTTTTTGAAAAATGCCAGGGCTTGATGATAAGCCGTATACTAAGCGGTTATACCTAAACAAACCTTTATGTGTGTTGATCACCGTATATTTGGCAGATTCGTCAAGTACAAATTGTGCGTAAGCTTGTGAAAGGTCAATTTTACTGAACCTCTGCCCCCCTTGTAAACGTACCAGTAAGTCTTCTACTCTAGGCAAAGGATAACGGTCGACTTCTATAACTTTATTTAAAGTTAACTTATAATCGGCGCAAATCCTAATGTTACCGTCTTTTTTCACTACGGGCACAATGGGAGTCGCCCAGTCGGAGCGGTCGACGGGTGTGAGAATACCGTCCGCCACCAGCTGCTCGAGTGCGCGCTCCACGGGTGCACGCAACGCATAAGCCAGCGGACGCGCTCGCATGAACACGGGCTGCGCTCCCTCCCGCACACGGATGCTCACCGACGGCCCAGTGAACCGTCCCAGGCCGTCCGCGAACACCTTACAATATCTGGAACTGAAATCGTTTAAGTTAAAAACATCATTCGATAGACAGTTTAAGCTTCCAAATGGGGGTAACTGTATATTGAGTTCTGCCAACCATTGTCTGCCTAACAATATACTTTTACCATTTTTAATAACATATAAATCGAGATGCTTTTCTTTATCTTTGTACTTTACTAAAGGCCTTATCACACCTACAGGTTTCACTTGTTCACCCGTATAGTACCTTAGCAACAAAGGACACATATTCAGTTTTAGGTTACTGAATTGTTGTTTATATAACTCGTAGCTAATACATGAAACGGCACTGCCTGTATCACATTCCATTTGAACATCCCTACCGTGTACTGTTAATGATATAAACAATGGTTTGTAATGACTAACGCTTAATTGATTAATGCAAACCATTACCTCGTCACTTCCTTCACTGTTTAATAAACTGTCAGTCTCACTCTGCACCACGTCGAGGCTGTGTTGTCCTGCTAGATAAGGACACATCCTTTGTAAATGCCCTTGTTTATTGCACACTCGACACACGTAGCGAGCAAACTTGCAGGTCACTACATCGTGTGCATTACCGCACGCGCGACACTCGCGCTGGTGTCGTCGTCGATCATCCAGCACCGATGTTGATACCCTCAGCCCGGTGGGCGTTGCTGCTGCTATCCTGGATGCTCTGCCACGCATCCTGACCTCGCCCTTACTGCCCGCGCGCCGCTCGCCGTCACAACCGATCGCGCGCCCGGTCCGTCTTGTACTGACCATCGCGTAGCAGTTTGTGGATGCGCTCGAGTCTCCAGATATTTTCGGATGCACATCGACGCTGGCTGCATCCTTATCCGCCGCCTCCATACTCACGGCTAATTGATAAGCCTTGCCAAAGTCTAGTTTGCTTTCGGCAAATAATCTCTGCCGAATTGTTTCACTACTGATACCGCATACGAACTGATCGCGCAAACTTTCTTGCAACCAGCTACCAAACTCGCAAGTTTTCGACATTTTCTTTAGGTCCGTTACATATTCTGATATACTATCACCGTCCCTTTGTTTTCTTTGTCGGAATTTAAATCTTTCAGCCAGCTCGCTGGGTTTTGGTTGAAGGTAATTTTCCAAAATTTTTGTTAGCTCTAAAAACGTTTTTGATGTGGGTTTTTCCGGGGTACACAAACTCACGAGTAGTTCATAACTCTCCGCCCCCATAACCGTGATTAATGTAGGTACATGTAGCTCACTTGATATTTTGTTCACAACAAAGAATTGTTCGAGCCTTTCCACATATAGTTTCCAATTGTCTGTGGCCACTTTAAATTCCGATATTTTACCAATCGACATGGTTTAGGCCGGTTAGCTTATACACACGCGAACTTTTACGATATATATTTATTTTTCTTTTTTTTTTTTCTCGTCGCCAATGCAATATCTTGGGATAGAATGAAAGATGTCTTTCTCGTAACGGCTTTAATGGCGGACTGAGCGGTGACGTTACAATAATTAACAAATACCTTACAAATACATTGCGATGTAATAACCCTATTTTAATTTCTAGTATTAGTGAGCTTCCTTATCCGTTATACTTAGTTTAATTGATTTTATAGTCTAATATAAATCAGGGATACGACAATGACCTAGGCTAACACGACACCTATAAGAACGAAGTTGAGGAATGGACATAGATAAAGATGTGAAAAAATGTTACTTTTCAACAATACTATGTTACGGTATAGTGTAACAACGATATGAGCTAAAGGGTAGATCTACTCGACAGAACATCGGTCACGGCTCATACATGCTGTGACCTGGCTATAAAATATCGCGAACATGACTAGTGTATAAATTAATCCGTTCCTTTAGGCACAATCTCAATCCTAAATTGAAATATATATTATTTAAAAGCCGAGGATCATAGAACTTTACACTTATGTATTTCGTCACTTTTGAGGTTATGATGCAATAAGTCTGCAGCCATGATTACAACTTCTGCTAAAATCATTAATATGAAAACTATGCAGTAATATATACTTAACTATATAAGTAAATGGCTAAAACCACAAAAACGAATCAATAAAGTTTCTAATCTTTTCACTGTTACATACCTATCTAAGACATCTTTGACATTTTAAGTATTTTATTACTACTGGCAAAGATATCTCAGCATATACAGTCTAACTGAAAGTGACTTAGTTTATAAAATTATTTACAATATGTTGATGCCTCACATGCTAAGATATTTAGATTTCGAAGTCAGCTTAAAAGACAAAAGAGATCTCAAAATGATGTTATTGATAATACACTACTAAAAAATCTACAATAAAATGTAGTATTAAAAAAAGTAAAAGCATAATCGTAGTGTTACTTTAATGTTATGATGAAAGGTGTAGGCACCATAGATAAAACGGGACGTTTAGATGCATTAAAACTTATAAAAAGTAATAAGGAAATGAGTTTTTTATTTAAAAGCTAAATTATTTTACCGGCTCCAATAAAATAAGCTGGACCCCGTAATTTAATAAACACCTAAGAATAAAAGCTTTAAGAAAAATTTACTTAGCAAATATCCGCGTTATAAAAATTTTCTAAAAGATTTTATCTAATGGGTTTCCGCAAAGTAACGCCTGATTCTATTAATTATAAACATCTAAGTCATAATTTTTTGACGTATCAATCATTGGTGGTCATTTCATATTTTGTTTAGGTCGTATTTGACCGATGTTCTTTATTCATGGCGTCACGTCGATGATGAAGTTTGAAGCAGTAATATTTTATTAAATCTAAAAGCGTTTTAGGACTGCAATTACTGATTTGACTGACTTAGTAACATTTTGCAAAGGATTCTCTAAAAACATGGTTAATTTACATCTCTCGATGACAATTTAGAGCGCTAGTGTCGTTTCTGATTTAAAATGTATTATGTATGTTTTGGCTTATAGTAGCGATATAAAATTAAAGGTAATTAAGTTTCATGATATTTACTAACATAATATGATTCTTTCATAACATGATCGTTATGATTATGATATAACAAGTGATTGACTTTTACCTAAATACAGATTATATCATGATTTTGCCTAATATAATTTCATAAATAAAATATTAATTGATTTTCGTTATACCCATACCTAATGATGCATTTTTCTGCTTGGTTAATGGTTCCGCATAGATTTCTTTTAATGTTTCTCTATATTTATTAGTCAATTTTATATTTTGGTTCCTTTAAGTTTTTACTTTGGATCAATTCCACAAATATAAACAATTCCAGGCTTGAGTTAGTTAATGACTTTAATGTTTATTCGCTAAAAATTAAAATTTGAGAGAAATGAGTTTAAACTCCATTAAAGCAAGATAATATTTTACTTAAATTGACTAAACATCAATTGATGAGTAACGCTATGTACATCTTAATAATACCCTAAGGTAATTTAATCGTCAGTGATCCCACAATT